CCCCCCCCCAACTTTTCAATGAGCAGGAAGAGAGAGTTTGCTTGCTGCCCTCTCCACCTTCCAGGACGCAATTCCAAAGTGGGGGCCAACCAGCTAACGCCATGGGAACGTACATTATGATAACTCTTTCTATTCGACATCCCGCATAACTCATGCAGGTCTGTTGCCAAAACTCATCTCTATGTGCTCATGCGTATCGTGTGGTGTGTTCATGCGTATCGTGTGGTGTGCTCATGCATATCGCGCGGCGTGCTCATGCGTATCGTGTGGTGTGCTTATTTTGCCCTTTGCCCTTTGCCCTTTCCGAACTCCATGGGGGTATTGCGTTCCAGAAGGAACACCCCCCCCCCACCCCCCCAGGGGGACAGTTAAGACAACGCCAGTGCGGATTCAGACAACACCAGTGCGGATTCTTTCCAAATTCCAAATGACAGACATACAGAAGCCTGCACGGTCTTCCTTCACTGTATTCGGTTCCCTTGGAGAAAAGAAAAGAAAAAAAAAAAAAAGAAGAAGAAGAAGCCTGCAGGGTCTTCACACATTGTTCCCATTCCCATTGCATTCAACCACACAGCAAGCTTCTTTTTTTTTTTTTTTTTCCCAGGGAACCGAATACAGTGAAGGAAAACCGTGCAGGCTTCTGTATTTCTGTCATTTGGAATTTGTGAAAGAATCCGCACCTGCGTTGTCTAAACTGTCCCCCTGAGGGGGGGGATTCTTCCGGGACGCAATACCCCCGTGGAGTTCAGAAAGGGCAAACGGCAAAAGAAGCACACCACATATTGAGAAATCACACGAAATCCACACTGGAGACCAGGGATGCCAACTCCAGATAAGAGCGCAGCTTAGAGATTCCAACAAATTATCATATTAGACAGGTTCAGAGTTCGAGTCACCAGCGCTCATCAGCGTAGAGTTCAGCAACCCCTATCCAGCATCCTCTTCCAAAGGTAGGTGACTCTCTCTCTCTCTCTCTCTCTCTCTCTCTCTCTCTCTCTCTCTCTCTCTCTCTCTCTCTCTCTCTCTCTCT